GATGCACGGATCAAATGTTTTCTCTCCGCATGATCACGGAGAAGCTTCTGGCTGCTAACCAGAAGATTTTCTGTGCTTTTGTGGATCTTGAGAAAGCATTTGATAAGGTTGTAAGGAAGAAAATGTGGGAACTGTTGCCGGGGTATGGTGTGGATGGTAGATTGCTAAGGGCTGTGCAGTCACTTTACTGTGACTGTAAAGCCTGTGTGCGGGTAGGGCATGACCTGTCACCCATGTTTAGCGTCCAAACGGGCGTAAAACAGGGTTGTGTCATGTCTTCCTGGCTGTTCATACTGTATCTCGACAGCTGTTTACAGAAGCTGAAAGATAGCCGTTTGGGTGTGTAATTAGGTGACATTAAAGTAAATTGTCTGCTGTATGCTGATGATGCAGTGCTTATTGCACCAGCAGAGGCAGAACTGCAGGCATTAGTCACGTGTATGAAAGAGGAATGTGAAATTAAAGGTCTCCGTTTGAATGCTTATAAAACTAAGGTTCTGGTATTTGAAAGGGACGAAGAGAGAACGAAGTGTGAAATATGGATAAATCAGGAATGTCTAGAACAGGTAAATGAAATTGTATACTTGGGGAGTGCTTTCAGCCGGGATGGAAGATGCGATTTAGATGTGGACAGGCGTGTCGTTGCCGGGAACAAAGTCAATGGTGCCCTGACTGCGTTAGTCAAAAGGCATGGCGTAGTGAATAGTGCACGCCTTGCAATACATAACGCAGTGTTGGTACCGACTTTGTTATATGGCAGCGAAACCTGGGTATCCCAGAAGAAGCATAAAAGTAAGTTGAATGCAGTGGAGATGCGATCTCTTCGTAAAATGTGCGGCGTTACCATGGCCGACCGAAAGCGAAACGAAGAGATTCGCAATATGGCAGGTTTGAAAGATGACCTTATCACAAAAATTGATAAGGGCGTGCTTCGATGGTTTGGGCACGTTGAGCGAATGAGTGAGACCGAATGGTGAAGAAAATATATAGCGCAAAAGTAAATATTAAAAGGTGTCGAGGTAGACCGAAACTTTCGAAGACCATGTGAGCAAATTGCTCGAAGAGGGGAGGGTCAAGAGTACTCGGATACCAAGACGTGCATGTATGAAGAAGATAATGAATCGTAAGGATCGTGACACTTGGCGATCTGTTCTCTCTGGCTACCCCGTCAGGGATTGTGCATGAAGATAAGCTTCCATTTCGTTCCGTGGCAATGGAAATTGAGCCTAAGTCTACTGGGAATACCCCCACGTTTCATTACCAAACACATCAGTTCTAAATGAGGAAATGTGTTATAATTTCCCAAATGCGGCACAGTTAAACTGTATACGTAGTAGAAATCATATAAGTAAAGACACCGACCACCGGTAAGTGGATGCTGCAACCTATAGGCTTCTATCCACGGTTAAGAATAAAAAATGCAGATGCGTTGTCACCGCTGAGAACTAAGATGAAATGCCCTGGTGCCAGTAAAAAATTTCTTCAGCTATTTTGTGGGAGCTTCGGTACTTCTAAGCAGTTTTCGCAGTGAAATCATGCAAATATATATAAAGGTGACAGAGAACACAGTCCATCTGATTGCAAGTGTACTTGTAGACTTGCAATCAGATGTGTAGTTATATCTCCGATTAAATGCTTTGTTACAAGTAAAAAGGCTCTTCGGACGAAACATCATAAACTGTTATTTCACGCCGGGTTATTGCGAGTGGTATCTTTCTCTGGTGAAGCCAACCCATTCGTAACTACATTCTATGAAGTTACCCAGTCCGCGAAACATACACATCATCATTATTACAGCCCTTCACAAGTCCACTGCCGAACATAGGGCTCCCCCAAAGAATGAAACAAAGCACGGTCCAGTACGCTTTGGGGACAAAAAATTTATCCCCCGATTGTATCCACTGAGATATATAATGACAAGTGATAAAATTATCTTGTTCTTATGTCAAAGCACGGCAACGGGGAGAAGTATATCCCCGTTTGACATAACGATTAGACATATATCCCCCGTACGTAGCATGGAGCCAAATGAAAGATAAAAATATACTTTTTTGACATTTTAAAGGGACAATTTTATCCTAGTTCATTGGACGTGGGTTTAAGTTTATATTCATACAAAAAATATCTAAGTCTTTGTCTATCTTCCATTTTATGTAGTACTGTGGATGTATCATGTATCATGCCTTACCAGCCCGTCGCACCATCTAGTGGGGCGCCCTACACTTCGCCCACCGGTACGAGGCTGCCACTCGAAGCATACACAATATTTAAACAATCGAAATGTTCATTTGTGGTTCAGGATTAAAGTGAAAATAAAAACCACAGTTGATGATGAATAAAAATAAAAATTTATTACCTAAACAAACATAAAACATTTCAGTCTGTTTACAATAAAACGAGCGTGTGCTTACAAAATAAATACTAAATCAAAATTTATTATTGGTTAAAATTATAAAACCAGATGTAGGTCGGATAGGTAGGATCTGAGGAGATAGCCAACATGACCTTCTACGATCGACGCTAAAGAGAACTGTAAAAATTAATGGAAATGACTTCATATCTAAATGAAGGTCACGTGTGTGTGACTTACCGTTGATTTATAGTTTTCTATAGCGTTACATAATGATTGTAATATTTTATTTTCGCTAAACCCGCACTGGGCTGCAAGAAATTTGAAAAAACAATTTTAAAGGATCTATCGCTGTCGCGTTGTGTCCGAAAAACCGCGAATATAATTGCAGCTCGGACTGATAATATCTATGACATGGAGCGAATTTCACTTTTCCGGTCAGCGGGGTTATACAAGTAGACTCTCTATAATCTTTAACGCTAATAGACAACTATAAAAATGAATGAAATCAGCGTTAAATTAAGTGACTGATGACGTTGCTTTTGAGATATGACATTACCATTAATTTTATACTTTTCTATTAATGAAGGTGTTGTGACCAGGATTAAGAAAATAGTGTTTTTTTTTCTTTTATTTCTTAACTAGCTGTTCCCCACGACTTCGCCCGCGTGTGATTTAGGGTTTTAATTATGTTGTGCAGAACCCTAATTCTTTTTCTAAAATATAAGTAGCCTAAGTTACTCCATAGAACATCAGCTATCTGCCAGTGAAAGTCCCGTCGAAATCGGTCCAGTCGTTAAGGAGATTAGCCGCAACAAACAGACAGACAAAAATTTTAAAAATTGTGTTTTTGTTATAAGTACCATATATACTTTCATATGCATTTAGTGAAGCTGTTATTTTGACGTTACAAAGAGACACTCCAATTTTATTTATTTGTATACATTGTATAGATTAGGTGTTTTGGACACGTAGAAAAAATGAATGTGAAAAAATAACAAAGCAAATTTATGCCGCAGTAGCGAGTGGCAGAGTCAGCGAGATTTTGGCTTTATGGACCAAATCTATACAAATAAATAATATTGAAGTGTCTGTTTGTAATGTAAAAATTATGGCTTTTTACTAAATACATATGAAAGTATATATGATACTTATAACAAAAACACAATTTTTAAATTTTTGTCTGTCTGTCTGTCTGTTTGTTCCGGCTAATCTCTGAAACGGTTGGACTGATTTTGACGGGACTTTCACTGGCAGATAGCTGATGTCATATGGAGTAACTTAGGCTACTTTTATTTTAGAAAAAGAATTAGGGTTCCGCGAAAAAAACTAAAACCCCAAATAACACGCGGGGGAAGTCGCGAAGAACAGCTAGTTGAAAATATATTAGATACTAGCTGTTCTCCGGGACTTCGTCAGCGTGTAATTTAGGGTTTTAATTATATTGCTCAGAACCCTAATTCTTTTTCTCAAATATAAGTAGCCTAAGTTACTCCTTAGAACATCAGCTATCTGACAGTGAAAGTCCCGTCGAAATCGGTCCAGCCGTTTCGGAGATTAGCCGGAACATACAGACAGACAAAAATTTAAAAAAATTGTGTTTTTGTTATAAGTAAATTGTGCTGTTATTTTAACATTACAAACAGACACTTCAATTTTATTTATTTGTATAGATGAGCCAAAATTATGTATGCGTAGTTATATGGAAGTGAAGAAAGCAAGAGAGGTGTGTCAGGATCGTGTTTAATGGATGGATTTCCATTCGCAAGTCTCTACCCCTCTGGGTGCCAGACGTGACGAGTTTTATGTATGTTTGTATGTACATTAGCAGTTGTAGAAGTCAACTTGTTGAGTCCCGCTGGTTGTGTGCGTGCTCCCTTATCTCTGCCTACCCTCTAATCTTAGTACTTCATTACATCGTGTACAGGTAAGTTAGACCGAGTGACTGAGATATCGACGGTATTCAAAAGCTGTACTGCTGTAGTAACTATTGCAAAATTTTTACAAATGTTTATTCATGTTGTAAAAGGCTGTTATTTCTGTATTGTAGACAGACGCTCCAATTTTATTTATATGTATAGATGAAGATATAAGTACTTGTTACAACCAGGCGTATAAAAATAAACTGTTCTTTAGTAAAATATGGTGACTCCCAGAAAATTAATAATGGAAGGATTTTAAAAATGTGCTTTGTATGTATGAGGTATGTGAAATTTGTAGTCCATTTTAAACTGATCGCGTACACAGTTCGCAGATATTATATTGTTAAAATTCGATACAGTGTCATACATTTTCAATTTTGTGTCAGATTTAAGTGATACTTCAATCTGTGCGGTATTTTAATCATGCGAAGTTTTGTAGTCCGCTTTAAACTGATCGTGTATCTAGGTTCCAGATATAATGTTGCTGAAATTCAACTTTGTGTCAGATTTTAGTGATGCTTCAATCTGTGCGGTGTTTTAATCAAGGAAGGATTTGTAGTCTATTTTAAACTAATCGCTTAACTAGTTTCCAGATATTATGTTGCTGAAATTCGATATCGTATCAGAAATTCAATTTTTTTTGTCAGATTTAAATGGCGTTTAACAGTGTGCAGTATTTCAATCACGGGTCAGACGTTTTTCAACCAGGGTCAGGTTCAGACGGCGAGTCACGTCGCTTTCAACGCGGCGTCAAGCTCGGCAAGTGTTGCCGTCGCTTTGCGCAGTTGCTCGGACTGTTGTCGACCGCTCTCTGTTAACGCAGAGAGGCTTTGCCTCAGTGTTGCCAGCCTTGCACCGACTCGTTGTTTCTCTGTAGTAAGCAGTTGCTTGGCTTTTGCACCTGTTAGATAAAAACAATATTTTAATTGACATTTTCTCACTATTCATTCACTATAGCCTGCCAAAAGCCCATAGCTGTACATGGGCCTCCCCCATAGGGGCGATATTTTCCATAGTTGTCACATATGTCAGGTTGGTTTGCAACCGCAGTTTTTATTTTATTTTAAATTGTTATTAGGAAGCCCATCTTCCGGTTTGTGTCTTCCTGTCGCATCTTACGACATCCACGGCACAATATGGGATAGTGGATATTCTTACAACGCCACTTATTTTATAAATATTTTTTTCTCATATCATCATATTTTGCAGCCGCGGAGCAAATACAAAGAGAAGACGGCCTAAGCAACTGTGCACTGTGATTCTAACTGGGTCCTGACGTTATCACAGTAGGCGTGGCTTTAGTTAGTATACTGCCAGCGATCGTCCTGTGCGCTTATGTGTCGAAAATCGCAAATCGGTGTATTTTCGTAGTATTAAGAAGAAAAGGATGAGGTGTTGTGTTTTATCGTGTAAAACTACTCGGATAGACGCTCTGATCCCATGAATGGCATTTCATTTTATTTGTAAATAATTTTATACCTAATTTATTAAAATAGTTCTAGAAAAATCTCTGCGTCGGCTTGCAAATATAATTAAATATATCCGACACTAGATGGCGACACTTTGTGTATTGGGAATAAAAAATGTAAAGGTACGTAGAGCTCAGTATTGGTACAATAATCATACAAAGGTGCTGAAATTTGTTTTGCATTTCGTCCTAAAGAATTTTTAATTGCCAAAATATTATATTTATAGTTTTTATAATAATTTTGTGAACAGGCGGCCATCTATCGTCAAGGTAGCTAAACTACATTGCAACATCGTTATGGAACGATGCGAGTAGTTTTACTATTTATCAGTAGATGAAAAATAGTAAAGTGGGCGGGGCTTAACACCCCCTCACCCCGCAAATTGTCATGCGTAGTTACATAGTGAAATCTAATTACAACAACTCCTCTTTGTATTTGCTCCGTGTTTGCAGCAACTTTCAAATATATGTGTAACTGGTACGACTAGATGGTAGGCGTCGTTTTCTGTCTAGTCCGTCTGGTAGGTACCACCGTATTTTTACTTCTTCTTGCCTATCTCTACCGCCAAGTAGTCTCAGTCTGAAGGATATAGAGAGCCAGTATGATTTACAAGCTGCGAGACATTCCATCTTAGTCCTCAGAGTTGACAGCGCATCTGTAGTCTTGTTTTCTTTGAATTTGGTTGCACTTGTATATGGGCTGCAGTAGAGTGACAAAGGAGCATACATTCTAACGCTAAGCGGATGCTGTTGCATGTTTGTCATCTTTAGCTATCCTCGATTATGAATCAAAATGGATATGCATTGCCAACCCTTGAGAATTAAGGTAGAAATGCTACGTTTCCAGTAAAAAGGGTCTACGGTTCTCTACACTCAATACGAAACACAGCAGCATTAAGCTGCTATTTCGCTGGTATTCTCTGAGAGCTTGGTCCATCCCCGGTCGAGTCGATCAATTCGTGCTACAACTAATATAGCTGCAACGTGGTTCTACCACGTAGAAATAACACCATGGCAAATATCACCTTAAATGGCATTCTATGGAGGAGTCCTATGTTCAGCACTAGACTTATTATTACTATTTAAAATAAAAAGTAAAATTAATTTCTTAAAGCATGTTAGGATGATAGACCTTAGTGTAGTATCATTAGCATTAAGCTGCTATTTCACGCTGGTTTTCTGCATGTGCGTGGTTCTTATAACTATAATATAGCTGCAGTGTGGCTCTGCCACATATAAAATGTTTAAAAGGTGTATGTTAGATGCTGATGAAGAAGACGGGAAAGTAGGTAGTTTGTTAAAAATGTATACACAACACAGAGTATATTAGCTGTAAACAGAACACAGAGTAATTGCGCTGTAAACAGAACACAGAGTAACGGCGTTGTAAACAGAACACAGAGTAACTGCGCTGTAAACAGAACACAGAGTAACTGCGCTGTAAACAGAACACAGAGTAATTGCGCTGTAAACAGAACACAAAGTAATTGCACTGTAAACAGAACACAGAGTAATAGCGCTGTAAACAGAACACAGAGTAATTGAGCTGTAAACATAACACAGAGTAATAGCGCTGTAAACAGAACACAGAGTAATTGCGATGTAAACAGAAGACAGAGTAATTGCGCTTTAAACAGAGCACAGAGTAATTGAGCTGTAAACAGAACACAGAGTAATTGCGCTGTAAATAGAACACATAGTAATTGCACTGTAAACAGAACACAGAGTAATTGCGATGTAAACAGAAGACAGAGTAATTGCGCTTTAAACAGAGCACAGAGTAATTGAGCTGTAAACAGAACACAGAGTAATTGCGCTGTAAATAGAACACATAGTAATTGCACTGTAAACAGAACACAGAGTAATTGCGATGTAAACAGAAGACAGAGTAATTGCGCTTTAAACAGAGCACAGAGTAATTGAGCTGTAAACAGAACACAGAGTAATTGCGCTGTAAATAGAACACAGAGTAATTGCGCTGTAAATAGAACACAGAGTAATAGCGCTATAAACAGAACACAGAGTCATTGTGCTGTAAACAGAACACAGAGTAATTGCGCTTTAAACAGATCACAGAGTAATTGCTCTGGAGCTGTGGCAGGGCGGCCACAGCATTATGTTGCGTCGAATGACTTTTTGTTGCCGCGACCCAAGGAATCCAAACTATATTGTTTTTTTTTATTTTGTTATTCTAATTTCTATTGAATTGCAGTATGAAATCAATTTAAAGAGGACTCCGGTTTGCCCCAACTCACCTAATAATGGTAGATAGTCTCCAGCCCGCTCCGCTCTGATGTCCAAGGTGAACCACTCGTCCAGATCTTCGGAGTCTGATGATGGTATTTCCTTGAACATAATAATTTTAACCATAAATAAACTGAATCCTAAAAATAAGGTTTTTTCTCATAGAAGAGGGGGTAAACGAGCATTCGGCACACCTGATGGTAAGTGTCGACCGCCGCCCATGAATAACTGTAAGACCAGTGCGTTGTCGGCTTTTAAAAAAAGAGTACGCTCTTTTATTGAAGGTCCCTAAGTCGTATCGGGCCGGAAAAATCGCCGGTGGTAAACGATTCCACAAGTAATCGTGCGAGGAAAAAAACTCCTAGTGTAATGGACTGTAGTGGCCTGTATGTATTTATTTGTGTTAGGGTGATTACTGCTAGGGACGTTGTTAAAGAAAAGGTGGTACACGTTACAATTATATATTAAAGTATTTACAGGAGCGGCAATTATGACTATTACTATATACGCAAGAGGGGATCTTCTATGGGAGTCTTGAGAGTCTTGATTCTTTTTTCTTGAGTGCCGCTGTCGAATCGAATGAATCGGAGCCTAAAAGCCCCTTTCTATATTCCCACGGCGGGTGTTCTGGTATTCATGGCGGAGCGTGTTCTCACGCAGTGTGCTGCACGCCGATTAGTCGGCGGCATCACGTGATATTCGGTCGGTGTGCGGAGTGCGCGGGGCGCAAAGGGGTATGAAGGGGCGACGGGGCGACGGGGCGGCGGCTCCCCACGCCGTCCGTAACATCTAGTAAATAGCACAGTAGTGGACCGCCAAGCATCCAGATGATGTGGATGATAACGTAAGTTTTGTGGCGATGTGCGTTGGTCTGGCTGGCATTAATCCGTACAATTCCTCAGAGCACTCCCCGTGGTAAATGCGATAGGAAATGCAAAGGGATGCAACATCTCTTCGTAGCACCAGTGAATCGAGCCAATGAGAAAGAACTCGGTCGTCGACGATTCAAGCCGCTCTGCACTGGATGCGGTCAAGTATGAAGGAGCTGCCAGTGGGGAGCCCCAACCCAGAGATGGGAACAGTGTCAGGTTAATTAAACTTAATCATTTTTAGGGTTCCGTTTCCATCTACCCAATTTCCTTTACCGTCAGTCTACTAAAAGTTCACGGCTGAACATAGGTCTCCTCCTGATTTTGTCATAGGGGAATATCTGCCATAAATGTCATGCTTGGCAGGTAGGATGGTACAGTAACGGTTGTAGAAATCAACTTGTCGAGCCACGCTGCTTGTGTGCGTGCTCCCTGATCTCTGCCTACCGTCTGATCTTACCGCTTTATTACATCATGTATGGATGAGTTAGACCGAGTGACTGAGCTATCACATCATTCAAAAGCTGAAAAAAATAAAGGGGTGATATTTGGCACAGTTGCTACGCCTGGTAACTGCAGGATTATTTATTATTTTTTTATTGTTTCAGTTTCCACCGTTCCACGTGTAGAACATACATTAAATTTTCGTAAATATACTGAGAGGCCAAAGTTAACATATTTATTTCTTTACATTTCTGACTATATAATATTCTTTAGTAGATAAATTGTATTTTACGTGAATGATAAATTATATTATAGTGTCCTCTCCTATAAGTAGCGGCAAAATTGTATAGCGGTGACCGTTATTTAACCGGCGCTCATAAGTCGCGCTGATTGACTCGTGCGTATCGTTCGCACCTCCACGTTTCGTTCAGCGCTAGACTTACGTGCCGCGACTTGTAGCTACTTACATCATATAGGCTGTCCTCATCCGACTGGCTGTCTCCATCGCTGGGCACTTCCTCGTCCATCTGTTCGGGCTTCATGATGCGTTGATCGGTTTGTTTCTTTGTCGAGCTTTTATCGCGATCGTTTTCCGACTCCATTTCCTGGAATAATTGCAAATTAATTCTACTTTTCCTATAATTAAAGAGTTTGGCGACAGACGAACAGTGTCTAACGAAATTATATCAGCGTTTAGAGGGAACTAAATAAAATAATGCAAGAAATTATATTTATGTGCGAGAGAGAGAGAGAGAGAGAGAGAGCGAGGGAGAGGTGGGGATGAAGAGGGAGAAAGAGAGGGAGCGAGAGAAAGGAAGGAGCAAGGGAATGAAAGAGAGGATAGAGCGTGGGTGTGAAAGACAGGGAGCAAGGGAGTGAGAGAGAGGAAGCGAAGGAGTGAAAGATAGAGAGGAAGCATGGGAGAGAGAGAGCGCGAGGGTAAAGCGGTGGAGAGAGAAGCAAGAGCGAGAGTGAGAGATGTGGAGTACAATAACCTCGTCCAAATCGAATTCATCTTCGTCGAGGAACTCCTCCTCATTGATGATCTCCTCAGGCTCCGATCTGACCTTCACAGGTTCTTTCACCTTGACCTCTTTCACTTCGGGCTTCTGCACTTGCTTAACAACAATCTGCTTATGGGGCGTTGGCTGCTGACGTTTGTCTGTAATAGATTTTTTTTCTATCAGCATTACATACTGATAGTATATATCAAAGTACAGGAAGGAGAGAGCCAATTATAAAACTGCCCCCCCTCCCCCCCCTTGACATGAAGTTGTCCATCCAACTTTAAGGGTGCCTCTGGTACGATCCCCATCAGCACCAATAACATAGAAATTTTTACGTGTTAATTTGCCAAGTGCTCGGCGGTGAAGAAAAACATCGCGAGGAAACCAGCATGTCTAATTAAATATAATAAATTACTTCGAAGATATGTGAAAGAAAGTGCAGCTGACATTTCATTGCCCTAAAATCTTCTCAGAAATGTGAAGAGGCCTGTACCCAACAGTGGAACGTATATAGGCTGTCATTATTTTACTTTTTGACATGGGGTCTATCAAGTCTCAGACCAACATGGGCTGATTTTTTTTATTTATTCTATGTAAAAGATTACATTACAAGTGTAGTATATTTTCATAAGTATGCTCACCAGTCTTGTTTTCTAAGCTGACAACCCGCTTGGTAATAGTCTGCAGTGCATTGATGCCGCCTACAGTGGTGGTGCTCTTGGCTGCCACATTGCTTGGTCGCTTGGTCACTCCAAACATCTTCTTCATGGTTGTCACCTCGTCAGATGACTGACAGGTATTTACACATTATTTAAAAAATATATATTTCTATTTCTAAATAAGACAAATGAAATAACAAATACTTAAGAAAAATAAACCAATTAGGATTCTAGAGTTCCATCCCATTACAATGTGAGCGTGCGTGTAAGTGTGAGCGTGCATGCGTACGCGCGGTGTGTGTGTTTGTGTGTGTGTGTGTGTGCGCTTTTTTTCGTGCAGTGGCAGTGTAATCCACTACCTCCCCCCATATCGTCCCGTGGGTGTCTTAAGAAGCAACAGAAGGAAATTGAAATAGGTGATTGGCAGGCAAAATAATAAAGAACAGGGGTTGACAACCCGCTCGCCAAGCTTAGCAACTATGGCGAAATCCCCCATGAGGCCCATTTAGGGCGACGCCTGTTCAGCGGTAGACTTTATAGGCTGTAAAGGATGGATATTACTATTTAACAGATAAGAGAGCATAGAAGACATGAACTTTCCTTAGACTTTTTTTACTTATGTATATACTAGCTGTGCCCCGCGGTTTCACCCGTGTCCGAGGTGCGCGACATGACCTAGTTCAAGCATTTTATAACGGCTAGGGTTTAAGCGTCGTTCGCGCGCCCAGCCAAGTTGAATTATTTTAATTTTACATTATCTCTTAAACTATGCGTCCAAATAACATGGTATAAAGAACAAAGTTTATCTTCACAAAATTGTCTTGATGATGAAGTAACTTTCGTTCGTAAGGATAAATAGACCATGCCTAATAATAACGCTCATAAATAACTTTTAAATTTTCAATGTTTTTTTGTCACAAAATACCAAATTATGGCTTATGTATAAGAAATAGACATATGGTATCGCGGACTTTTTTTAGACTGAGTAAAGGTCTATATTTTTCTAGAACATTGTATTTACGTATCCCTAACGATAACACCAGCGTACGCGGATAAATCATTTCGGGAGTGCTTTTTCGTCTGACTTGCTTAACAAATATCCATATTTAAGGCTAGCTGAGTAATATAGCTTAATGCTAGATAGCCTATGCTATTTCACATGAATCTGGCTATAATATACAAAAAGAATTTTTCAAATCGGACTGGTAGTTCCAGAGATTAGCGCTTTTAATCCGCTTTATTATATTAGTATAGATTCTAACGTTGGGAGAAAAATAGTGTATGTTGCCGCTTCGTCTCGTAAGGTCTCCCCACAGTAGAGACTTGTTGAAGTAATGACGTAGCATTTTACTTTTAAAATAAAAATATGTGACTTTGAACACTTTAGCTGTAACTGACAAGGACATTCTTCAATGTTTCCTCACCATATCTGTATCATCTTTGTCGCTCTCCTCGGGAACCGCTTTGGTGGGATACTTCTTTACAAAGGCATTCTTTGCCATCTTTAGCCTGGTCACCTTTGCACCCTGAAATGAAAAAAAGTAATTTTGTTGACATCCCACAGTTAGGCCCAAGCCTCTTGACAGTGTCATGGAGTAAAAACGTGCCCGTTAAACTAGTTAAAGCTTAGGCTAATTAAAAAAAAGTTTACCTCAAATATAAACTCGTCATCATCACCGTCATCACTGGACTCCTCTGGCTGCTTCTTATCTTTGGTATTCTTTACAGTTCGTTTTTTCTTACTTTTGACTCCGTCGTCTCCCAGCATCCTCTGTACAAAACACAAAATTAATGAGTCACTAAAATTCTGACAAGTGCAAAAGTTAGTGAATTTTCAGCTCATATATACATCCCACATCTGGACACAGGTCTAAATAAAAAAAAATCAGTAAAATATTACACTACGACTCATAAAGGTCCAAAAGAGTAGATTTTTTTGTAAACTACAATTATTGTAGCCAGTATTAAAACAACCCGTATGAATGCAATAATTTCTTATGTATACGTGAACACTACACATTTAAATTAAATTAGTTTTTACGGATTTTAACGCGTATATTACCTTCCCGACGCGACGCTTTGAGTACTTTAAAGCACCCATGGTCCACGGGGGGACTGAGGTGTTTGACGTCCTGATGTCACAGTTAGCCCGGCTACCTTCAGTTTTTGAATATTCATTTTTGGTTTGGTTTGTTTGAGTTTGAATTTAATTTTATTAATTATAGGATCTCAAGCATATGGTAGCACCCACCACCCACCATCCATCTTCTCTATTGAAAATATGTTTTTTAATTCCAATAGCCGCGCGAATCATCCCTAGCAGGAATCTCTGTTCTTTTATGAAGATTTGTGGCCTATCAAATGTGGTGCAACGGCGGGGACATTGATTGTTATTAATATTTTAAATTAATAGCATTCAAAGCATTAACCAAAGAAATAAATTGTGGCATAAATTTAAAAAGGAACCCAAGAATATTAGTTTAAGAAATTATTTAAAAAAACCGAGAAATAAGTACCGAATTGATTTCAAAAACAAAACATAAATACTATTATCATAACTTCAATAAATGTGTGAACAATCCAAAAAGAATGTGGAATCTTATTAATTCACTATTTAAAAACGACAATAAATCGATATGTGCTCCTCCAAATATTATATTTGAAACTAGACTTATCACGAATAGTAATGAAATTTGTGAGCATTTCAATAACTTCTTTGCAACAACCGGGTCTCGTTTGACAAATCAGATTCCATCAAAATTTCATAATAACTCGACATATACACTTACAAATTTAGAAATATCAAACATTAATGAGCAACATCTTGCAGTCTTAACACCAACTTGTACAGAAGAAGTATCCAAAATAATAGACAGTCTTGATAATAGCTGTAGTTCAGGAATAGATGGAAAAGTGATTAAACGGATAAAACGTAACCTTGTTCCAAAACTGACGCATTGTATCAACTCATATTTAAAGGACGGTATATTTCCAGACGAAATAAAAAACGCTAAAAAGTTACACCAATCTATAAGTCAGGTGCAAAGACGGATCCCAATAATTATCGCCCTATCTCGGTTTTACCAGTGGTTTCGAAAATATTAGAAAAAATTATTTACAATCGTTTAGATCAATATTTAACGCAAATCAACTTTTTATTTAGCCGTTAATATGGTTTTCGACAAAAATCAAACACATTATCCACTACCATTGACTTAATTATCAAAATAAAAACCAACATCGATGCTAAAAATATTGCACTGGGAATATTTATAGACCTAAAAAAAAAGCGTTCGATACGGTTAGACACAAAATCCTGTTAAATAAACTCTCACAGATTGGAATCACTAGCAATGCATACAAAATATTCAAATCATATCTTAATAATAGTACTCAGATAGTCAAAATCGGCAATCATCAGAGTTCTTCTCAAACCATAACTTGTGGTGTACCCCAGGGATCAATACTCAGGCCACTATTATTTGTGTTAACAATATCAGCCAAATATCACTACATGGAGAAATTAGTCTATATGCCGATGACAGATGTATATTTTACTCTGGGCATTCACTTAATAATATTATTCAACTAGCACAGGAAGATCTTAATACATCGCATAACTGGTTTCAGTACAACTTGCTTACCATAAATACAGCCAAAACCAGTTATATGACATTTAAAGCCAAGAATAAAAAAATACACAACCACACACCATTAACAATAAATGGTATAAAACTAAAAGAATCAGTGGAGGAAAAATATTGTTACGCGCCACTATTAATGTCTTGTACATGGCAACACTAGTTACACTAGCGCCCCCTAGTGTCGAGTAAATGAAAGTATTGCGCGCCACTATTAATGTCTTGTACATGGCAACACTAGTCACACTAGCGCCCTCTAGTGTCGAGTAGCAGAACTAGGAGAGTCGAGATCCTTCCAGAAATTTCGGGACCGATATGTACTCGAACATTCTAGATGTCGCTACAGTAGAAGGTTCTGGAAACTATCTGAGGCCCTATATAAGACCGGTATAGACCACGACCGGGGCAGTATTGAATTGGCGATACAAGAGAATACTTCGAAGCGAAATAACGGCGAACTGTGTTTTATTATTAGTGTGATTTTTGATTGTAATTAGTGTTGTGTAATTAAAGTGTCAATTTTGGTAATTCAGTCGGCAGTTTTTAATTGTCTCGAACCCCAAGTTCGTAACAATTGGTGTCAGAAGTGGGATCAAATATGCCGATTTTACCTAAAGATGACACGGAGGGTATCCGTACCCGAAGTCAACGCCAACAGGAGACGGACCAGAGACGATTTGGTAATGCAACGCCGCAAACGTCGGAGGGCCAGCTGCAAACCACGGAAGCCGGCCCGTCAGCAGCTCCTGCATCTGCAGCACCTGACTTAGGTGCTCTGATGATGATGCTGCAGGATCAGGCTCGCCGACAGGAGGAACAGGCCCGCCGACAGGAGGAACAGACCCGTCGGTTGGAAGAGCAGCTACAGCGCGGTATGGAAGAACAGATGCTCCTTAGGAAGGACCTTCACGCTACCTTCGGGAAAGAGATAAAGGAGGTGAAGGATAGGGTTGCTCAACATGACAACCGCCTGTTGGAAGCTGAAACCCGAATCGACCAAGTGAACAATCGGGTTGACAACGTGATGGCTGATGTGAAGAAAACGCTGGACGACCTCAAACTTGGGGATGGAATTACAGCTCCCGTAGTAGCTACAACACCTTCGCTACGTGGATTCAAAGTGCCGCCGTTCGACGGGAGTTCTTCCTGGTCGGCCTACAAAATCCAGTTCGAGGCTGTCATGAAAGCGAACGGCTGGAATAAAAGTCAGGCCATGACTGCTCTCACCCTAGGCCTACGCGACCAGGCATTAACTGTTCTGGAAGCTCTCGGTAAGGAAGTGACTTACGAGCAGCTCCTTGAGGCATTGGAGGCGAGATATGGTGATGCTCACCTGGAACACGTCTTTCGTGCGCAGCTCAAAGATCGCGTGCAACGCAGTAACGAAAACCTGCAGCAGTGGGCCCTTGAGGTGGAGAAGCTGGTTCGAAAAGCGTACCAGTCTGTACCTGCGCTCATTGTAGGGAACCTGGTGCAGACATTCATCGACGGCATCCGCGACCTTGAAGTCAGAGCTGCTGTGAGGCTCGGGCACCACGAGACGCTTAAGGACGCCTTGGCCCATGCACTGGAGGTGGAAGCCGTGCGGCAGGATCATCGTCCCCACCGCGTCAGGGAGGTTGCAGCAGCTACAGTTCAGGACCGCAATAAGGGCTACAGCCCTAGGTGCTACGGCTGTGGGGAAAGGGGCCATCTTCGATCCAGCTGCCCTAAATGAACTGTAGAAAGGGAAGGTGATCGATGTCGAGAGGGTAGTGTGGCTGACAGCAACACCCGGTAGCAGCAGGGAAACTGGCGGGTGCTGGCTGATGTTAAAAGAGCCCCAAGGATTTCGATCTCACAAACCCGTGATGGAAACAGCCTGATCATCAAGGGCGAGGTCAACGGAAAGCCGTGTAAACTGACCATAGACACTGGAGCTTCTCGCACGATTGTCAGTTCCCAACTTATAAATCAGTTTCTTGGGGACTCCGCATACAACCGCGAACGCATTAATTTGGTAACAGCCACCGGTCAGCGCATACCCGTCCGTGGAGAGAAGGAGATGGAGTTGAAGCTAGGCAACATGATCTACCTGCATAATGTCATCGTGGCTGATATAATGGACAACTGCATCCTGGGCCTAGACTTTATGAGAAAGAATTGTTGTGAGATCGACGTTAAGCAAGGTGTTTTGAAATGTGGACAAGAGGAACTTTTCATGGAAGGGGCGTTACCAGGGAATGTGTACAGCCTTAAGAAGATTGTTCTTCCGCCGAGATCGGAAACGATTGTGCCGGTTAGTCTTCCTCGGAGTCCTGGGCAAGCTCATCGTTGTGTACTCGTGGAAAGGGTAGACAATGACCTTCCATGGAAAGTGGCTCGAACCTTGGTCAGAACCACCGACATCTCAGGAGTACGTGTGTTGAACCTTTGTGATCAGGTACAGATTATTGAAAAAGGCACATTGGTTGGTACTAGTGAGGAAGTGGATTGGTTGCGTCGGTGCGAATATCTATCGACTGGAACCCCCAGCAAGGATGGACAAACGAGAGTGACCACACTTTTAGAAGACTGTCGCAGCGTTCTCTCCCCGAATGAAATGGTCAAGGCGAAGAAGTTGTTACTCAAGTACGCCAATGTTTTCTCGGCAAACGAAGCTGACATAGGAAAGACTGGCTTAGTTCAACACAAAATAAACACAGGACAAGAATTGCCTATTCGTCAGCGGCCAAGAAGATTGCCTGTAGCACGTGAAAAGGAAGTGGAAACCATGATTGAGGGAATGGTGAAGGATGGTGTTATTGAACCTTCATCTAGTCCATGGTGTTCACCTGTGGTGCTGGTAAAGAAGAAGGACGGCAGCATGCGGTTTTGTGTTGACTACCGCCGCCTGAACGACGTTACGAAGAAGGACAGCTATCCCTTGCCAAGAATTGATGACACGCTGGACATGCTTACGGGCGTAAAGTGGTTTAGTACGCTGGATCTGAAAAGTGGCTACTGGCAGGTTGAAATTGACCCTAAGGACAAGGAGAAAACTGCATTCTCCACAGGAAAGGGTCTGTGGCAATTCAAAGTCATGCCGTTTGGATTGTGCAATGCTCCAGCAACGTTTGAAAGGTTGATGGAGCTTGTACTTACCGGGCTA